GAGCGACTCCTTGAGTGGCAGGGTCCCAGGGCAGACGGGTGAAGGTTGCCCTGCACCCCCAGCCCTAGCTCACCTCCGAGGCGCCAGCAGCTTTGTTTGAGAGGGCTTCGCCCAGCGCCAGGGAGCTGGTGTTGACAGCGTGCGCCAGCTCCTGCTCCACGGCTTTGTGAGCCTTGGCTGCCTCGTGGATCCTGTGGGCGAGAGGGGCTGAAGCGTGGCAGGGTCCCAGGGCAGACGGGTGAAGGTTGCCCTGCACCCCCAGCCCTAGCTCACCTCCGAGGCGCCAGCAGCTTTGTTTGAGAGGGCTTCGCCCAGCGCCAGGGAGCTGGTGTTGACAGCGTGCGCCAGCTCCTGCTCCACGGCTTTGTGAGCCTTGGCTGCCTCGTGGATCCTGTGGGCGAGAGGGGCTGAAGCTGCCGGCGCTCCCCCGGCCTGGACAGGCAGCACGGGACTAGGAGACCCCTGTAGCTCTAGGTGGCCACAGCGAAGCCCCCCCCTCCCCGTGCCTGCCACATACCCCCATCCCGCAGCCTGACCTGGCGATGAGGGTCTCAGCGACTCGAGAGACCTGCTGCAAGAGGCTGCTCTCCTCCTCAGTCAGATACTCCATGGACTGCTGGGAGCTGAGCCGTGGCCGGGCAGCTGCTCGGTAGCTCTCCCCCTTCTGCTTGTCCTCCCAGGACTTGAGGGTGCTTTCAAATGCCTGCAGGGGACGGAGATAGCCCCCCCTCAGCCTGTCAAACCTCCCCATGCCCCAGCATGGCCTCATCGCGTGGGCTGCGCAACCCTGAGCTCACCCGGTCCCTTGTCAGCATCTGGGCTCGGTTCTTGTGCTGGATCTTGATGATGCCAGGCGGCTGGATCCAGGCTTCTCCATCCACCTGCACGGGGACACCCTCATCCCCCCGGATGGTGATCTTCACCACGCGGCACTGTGGGGCGGACAGCCTGGGGTTGGCATTGCGGCTAGCACTGTATCACTGGCTTCAGCTGCTGTGCCAGGGCTGAAAAGCCTCCCAGCGCCACACCAGTGCCAGCCAGGAGCCCGGCTGAGCCACACCACCCCAGGCTCCGCTGCTGCCCCAAAAGCTTTCCGGCACCATGCAGGGTCCCACAGGGTCCCTTGCCCCCCTACCTGTGCGATGCGATGGTGCTGGAGGTTGATGACCCGCGACACGGCCATCTGGATGCTGCCAAAGACGGCCACCACCTCCAACTTCTTGTCATCAAAGGATGGAGCCCCAAAGTTCTGTAGAGGACCAGTACAAGTGAGACCCCAAACCGGGCTTGTTTTGGGACCCAGCTTTTTCCGCCATGTGTGCCCAAGGCAGGGACACCCTGGAGCCCTGCCTGAGGGCTCCCAGGTTCCCCTGGGACTGTGGGAAGGGCATCGTGCCCCCCTCCCCACCCTGCAGCACTGGCACTTACATTGTCCTCCTTGGTGCCTCCCCAGAAGTTGATGCCCCCGGCATAGCTGGGGATGTTGAGGACAGCGATGCCCTGCAGGCTGGGCAGTGAGATGGGCACCCCATCGCACTGCAAGAGAGGACTGAGCCTGGGGGGCCGCCACTCTGCCGCCCCCCCTGCCCCATCGCTGTTCCCCCCGGCCCTGTACCTCCAGTTGCACCCGCTGCTCCAGGTTCTTGTAGGTACGCTGCAGGAGCTCCTTCGTGCCCAGCACCCCGTACCACATCATGTTCTTGGTGCGGCTGCTGCAGGGTGAAGCGGGCCTGGTGAGAGGGGCTGCAGGCTCCCTGCTGCCTGCTGCAGGCTCTGGGCCCTCCCTGGGGCACTGGGCT